CTGTTTTTTTATGTAAAGAGACACCAAAGCAGATGGGAGAAAATAGAATGTGTAAACAATATTTAAAACTGAGCTAATTCATATAAACCAAACAAAAAAATAAGCAGAAATTTACATTTTACTCACAAAGCTGTACTCGTAATTCTTAGAATGTTGTTACGATTTTGTAAATCTGATCATACTTGGAAAAAGCTTGACCGAGCTAAGAGAAAAAAAAATTAACAAAGTCTTTGCCGGTTTTATTATGAGACACATCACATTCCCAGGCCCTTGTTCCCTCCTTACTTTAAGTGTGTGTTTGTGCTCAGTGTCTGTAAACTCTAAGTGTTCCAGCAAAAGGTTAACAGCCATAAAACAAGAGAGGGATGAGCAGAAGTAGAGTCCAAAGGGCTTTTGAGATGTTGTGGAGTGGCGAGGAGGAGAAAGTGGGAGAGCTGCTAAGGACTAGAGCTACAGAGTCATGTCTGGAGTGGCTAACACTTGGCCAACTGAGGTGTGTGTGTGTGCGTGTGTGTGTGTGTGTGTGTGTATGTGTGTGTGTGTGTGTGTGTGTGTGTGTGTGTGTGTGTGTGTGTGACTGTTGGAAAGGGTGTTAAGTAGCAGGGGACAGAGAAAAGCTATTCAGCATAGAGGAGAATACAGCGCATGACAGAGAAGTCTAACTAACTCCTCATGCCTCACAAAGCCCTCCCACAGACTAATTTATGAAAATTTTTCACTTTGATGCAAAACACAATGCAGTTCAAACACTGAAGATAAATGCAAACCTTAAATGTGAAGGTGCAATAGTATGTTTCATACTTAATCATAAAGAAAAGATCTAATTACGGCCAGGGAGTCTCAGTGGGGGGGTTCACTCTCGGTCTGTTGTTCTGTAATAAAATGTGATTTTTCGGAGCATTACCAACTCTTTATTTTTGTTCAGCTTCAATCTCGCTGCCTGCTTTTTTCCCCCACCTGTCTGCTAATGATGAAGTCCACGCTGCACCAGACAGTCTGAATAGATTTTGTGGGAAACTAAACCCATGAAATTGAACGTACAAGCCAGATCATTTGGGTTACTGTTTGTCATCCAATTTATTTTCTTAGCGTCATCAGAGTGAATCATCAGTAGGAATAATTTCACAGCATTGATGTAATGAAGAAAAAAAAGCCTGACACTGCATCTTGAAATAAAAAATATACAAAAATAACAAACTAACCAACAAAAAGATTTTGATCCGGGCAATAAACAAGTATGCAATCAGCAATCAGATATCCTGCAGGAATAATAAGCTGGCCAAAGGAAGAAATACAGACCACAGATAGTAAGACACGGGAGCTCCTAACCATGCATGGAGGGTCCCATCCCAAATCCAGCACCCTGAGACTGTACACTAGCCGTAAGGAGAGAAGGAGGCCGAGGGCTAGTGAGTGTGTGTGTGTCATGGTCTGTGTCGGTGTCTTCGTGTTCCTCTTGTGTCCCCTGGTCTTCAGCCCTCCAGATATTCCCTCTCAGGTCCTGTGTTCCTTCAGTCTCCCCACCATCATTTCCATAGGTCTATTATTCCAGTTGTGTGTGTGTGTGTGTGTGTGTGTGTGTGTGTGTGTCCTTTCCCAGTTAGGTCTGGTGTCTTCTCCTGCTCCTCCTCCCTTATTAGTTATCACTTTCACCTGGTTCTCTCCCCTCACACCTGCAGCTCATCATCCTCCCATCATGCCCCAGTGTGTTTAAGCCCTGTCTTGTCTCAGTGTCTTGTCGGTCCATTGTTGTTTTGTATGTCAGCGTTTTCTGGTGCTCTGTGTGAGCCTTTTGTCTCGTCCCCAGACTTTGTGCTCTAAGTGAGCTTTCGGTGTCCTGTGCTCCAGGATTTTTGGATTTTTGGCTCACAGCCTTTTGGATTTATTTTTGTTGTCATCCTACAAATAAAAGGATTTATTCTTTACATCAACTCCTGCCTCGAGTCATCCTGGGTATCTGCATTTTTGGGTCCTAACCATCCCCTTAACGTGACAGTGAGAGCCACTGAAACATCCAAGATTATAAGAACATCAAGGATAAGGCCCCAACAGATGACGTACTCAGTGAATGTCTCAGACAATGGTGAACAAAAGAGGAAATGCTGTAAATACTTTTGTGGGAGGACAAACCCCTACATGGGATGTACCACCGACAGATACTGGAGTGGCTTATATCATAAATCCTACCAATGGCTAGAAAAAGCTGGTCTGAAGGACAGCACAGAGGCACTCATCATGGCTGCACAGGAACAGACCCTGAACACCAGAGCAACAGAGGCCAAGATCTACCACACCAGACAAGACCCAAGGTGTAGCCTATGCATAGAGGCCCCTGAGACACTCCACCACACAACTGCAGGGTGTAAGATGCTGGAAGGGGAAGCTTACATAGATCGCCACAACCAAGAGCCTGGCACAGTGTACAGAAACATCTGTGCAGAGTATGGACTGGAAGCCCCAAGGTCAAAGTGGGTAACACCCCCTAAGGAGGTAGTGAACAAGAGAGCCAAGATCCTGTGGGAATTCCAGATCCAGACAGACAACATGGTGATGGCGAACCAACCGGACATTGTAGTGGTGGACAAAGAGCAGAGGACAGCCGTTGTGGTTGATGTGGCAATACCAAGTGATGTTAACACCAGAAAAAAGGAACACGAGAAACTAGTACTAGCGCCTCAGAGAAGAACTTGAGAAATCCTGGAGAGTTTAGACATCAGTGGTGCCCATGGTCATCGGGGCAGTAACCCCCAAACTGGAGGAGTGGCTAAAGCAGGTCTCGGAAAACATCAGACATCTCAGTCCAGAAGAGAGCAGTTCTAGGAACAGCTAAGATACTGCGCAAAACCCTCAAGCTCCCAAGACTCTGGTAGAGGACCTGAGCTTGGAAGGATGAAAATGTATATATGGCCTAGTGGTAAAGGGCCCTGAGACTGGGAGATCAGGGTTCGATTCCTGGTCGGGTCATACCAAAGACTTTGGAAAAAATGGGACCCAATGCCTCCCTGCTTGACACTCAGCATTAAGGGATTGGATTGGGGGGTTAAACCACCAAATGGTTCCCGAGCGCGGCCGTGTCTGCAGCTCACCGCTCCCCCAGGGGATGGGTCAAATGCGGAGAACAAATTTCGCACACACATAAGTGTGTGTGTGTGACAACTGATGGGACTTTAACTTCATCTCACGATACAACATTGTCACGATATTACATTTAATGTGGTATTGTGGGGAGGCCCACGATCATCATGAAATGCTTTGACTGGTCATAGTTACATTTGCCATTAACTTTAATATGTTTATGACATTTTGAAGAGCCTGAAAAGCCATTGCTAGAGTGCAAATTTCAGGATCATGGTCTACGTCGTTTACTTTGCTATGCTCCAGTGGAGCAGACTGAGAAGTGTTATTTCTACCTCAAGACGTACTGTACAATACTGTGACAAGGCCTCGGCGATATCGCAGTATTGCCAATATTGTATACACACACACACACACACACAGTATGTGTGTGTGTGCATGTGTGTGTGTGTGTTAGTGAAGTGAAGATTGAAGGAAATGTCTGGTCTCGTAACAGCTGACACTTTAATTAGTCTAAACTAAATGATGCATGGTGTCTCTCTCGTGGCGCTGGTAATCGTGAGCGTTCTGCCTTGAAGAGCTCGTATTGTGCATGAGTAGATAGCTGAACCAAAGTGGTCTGGGCTACTCAGAAGTTGCACCGTTGAAATGCATGATTTGCTGATCCCAATAGATGACAGAGTGCAGCGAGGGACCGAGTTTTGCTTCGACTCTCAGAGCTCATCATTCATTTGCTGTATTTTCAGGGGAAAATCACATTTTCCCTTCCTCTGCTTCTATGGGAAGTAGCTGCAAATGGCTTTGAACTATCTGGAGGTTTAATTAGGCATTCCTCATCAGCGGGGGGATTCAGTGTGTGTGAGCTAGTAGGTGTGAGTGTGTGGCATCCACACTTACACACATACAAATAGCATGAATTACTGGGCTGGTGTGAGTGGGATCATGTTGGTTATCCTGTACATACACACATATGTATAGCAGGATAATTTGGGTTTGTTTTTCCAAGCAGCCATCTTGTGCTCATGGCAAACGTGTGTGGAGTGCTTTTTCTGGGTGTCGGCAATCAGCAGACAGACGGCATACTCTGAAGATGTTTGAAGTCCTTAGAAGTTTCTTACCTTGATCTGCATGCAGCAGCCAGCCTCTGACTGCCACCAGCACATCACAACTTTGCGATTTGAGTCTTTGCTTTTGTTTGATGTTCCAAATGTGTCAGGAGGAAAAAAAAACTGCAATGATGTATTTCATTTGCTTTGTTCTTCCCACCAGCAAAGGAACATAACCTTTTCAGATTCCTTCAAAGTACGAGAAAAAAAAAGAATAAAAAACTAAAGCAGCATTCAAGCATAATCTCATGTGAATTGGACCTCTTGATTGGTCAGAGCAAGGCGAAACGCTTTATTTTATTGACAGTCTTGCAAGAGACTAATTAATTTCTTTAATGGGCAGGTGTTTTGTTTTTCTTACATGTGGGATTGTTGTCCTAGTAAACAGTTTTTACGAGAGGGAGGGGGAATCTAGTATCCTCTGTACCCTTTGTTGTTTAAAAGCCCCATATGGATTGTGAATCGGCAGCAGCTTTCAAAGCTTCATTAGTCATGCATAAAAGACTGTGTTAACGCTTTAATACCAGCCCTGGGCTCAGGTGCTGAAGATCTGCTTAATTGCCCACCTCTGCTACGTTCAGCGGTCACATGCAGACGTATCAGTGTACAAACCAAATATGTGTGTCACCGTGTTTGTGAGTCTGTGTGTTTTTTGTTAATTGTCTGGAGCTAATAAGCACAAAAAGAGAGTGAGTGTTCTAAGATGGGCATTAAACGAGAATCAGACACCTTCCCTCTGTGTGCCGTGACTAATGGTCTCTTATCTTCCTTTTTGTGCTTTGTGTGTGTGTGTGTGTGTGTGTGTGTGCGTATGTGCAGCTGTCCACCTGTTAGGTCTCACCTGGCATCTGCGGCACGGAGAGAGCCAGCTGTACGAGAACGGACTGAGCTCAGCGGACCATCAACAGGAGGACCACAGCAAAATCCGACCTACCGGCTCCATCCACCTGCTGGACACACTCAACCCTGACAACACCTTTGCTGGTGACAGAGGTGCACTCACTCACACACACACACACACACACACACAGAGAGAGAGAGAGAGAGAGAGAGAGAGAGAGAGAGAGAGAGAGAGAGAGAGAGAGAGAGAGAGAGAGAGAGAGAGAGAGAGAGAGAGAGAGAGAGAGAGAAACCCAACAGTCAGCCTCCATCCGTGCTTTAAACTGAAGATAAAAATAAATGAAAATAATGTTTCAGTTAAGATGTCACCATGGACGTAATTTTGGGGGGGGGGGCGGGGGGACATGCCCCCCCCCCCCCCACACACACTTTTTCCAAAGTCAAGCTTTGACCCCTGCACTTTTTACCATCCAAAAACAATATTACGCTATTTTAAATTGACACTGGTTGAGCTCTAGGACCAAGCAGAAAACAACCATTTGTGTTGAAGCCTGTTTCCCATTAGAACATACTGTAAAGACACCCCCCCCCCCCCCCTTGTGTCCCCCCCACTTCTAAAGTGAAAATTACGTCCATGGATGTCACATTTGCACTAGTTGGTGCATTAATTGTGATAAGGTGTGTATCCGTGTGTTTACTAAGTAGATATGTATATGCTTCAGCAACACTCATGCATAATGCTGGTAAATTCTGAAGATCACGCCACTGGGGAGAGATTTTAGAGACCACAAGGATCTCCTGGCCCATAATGGTGACCTGCTGATTGATAGCTCTTTTCCATCGCCTGGCCTGGAACGGTCCGGTCTGGTTATTTTTGGACTAGTGTGATCCGGTATGGGTCTGGAACTTTCAGGCGAGCGTTTCTATCGCCATCACATCGGCAGGCGGGGTTAAACGAACTGTCATGTGCAATTTTTTTAAGTTGTGCAACTATTCTGTTGGTCCACAGAGCTAAAGACAAACACAAAATGCTTACTACAGCTCCCACATGTGACTCCAGAGTGCAGTCGCTAAGTCCAGAAGCCTGCTTTGCTGCCTCAGCTATAAAAAGCATCCAGCGTGTCATAGCTTCTCCGTGTATTTCTCCTATCCGAAAATAAAATCTGCTCCGGCTGTTTCTGTCCTTAACTATTAACTATTTTGGGCTTTAATTCCTTCATCTTGGCCCGACACTGTGCCGACGCACGCTCTGATCCTTCGGCTGCCTTCCATGAGAAAAAGCTACCGATCCGGCTGGCTGCTCCTGAGCACTCTCACGATGACGATGAGAAATGTGTGGAACTCTGAAGGTGACCACTTGCTGGCATTTTTTCACATTTCTGTACAGCTAGCGAAAATACAAACAACCGAACTCCGTTCGTTTTGCTTGTTGCAAGTAGTGACGTATTTGAGTCAACCAATCAGTGGACTGTGTTGTTGCTCCACCCTAACCGTTCCGCTCCAAAAAATTCTGGACCTACAACGGAAGGGAACTCAAAAAGTCCCGTGATTGGCGCGGTGCGGGTAGGTTATCTGGACCGGTTTTACAATCGAAACAGAAAAATTTGTGACCCGATCCTTCCCATTCCATGCCAGTTTGGGCGATGGAAAAGGCCTACGAGATCTAGTGCAGTCCTGGGCCACCAAAACTGTGCTATGCTGGTGCAGGTTTTCTGCAACCGGCTTGTTCCAGCTGGAATTAGCCGATAGATAGGCTGATATTTGTTTTATGCAACAAACAATATGTGACATGCCCTGCCTGAAGCCCCATTTTGGATAATTCTATGTTACAGTTAGACGTGGAATATCTCAGCCCTCCCAGAGCACCATACATGATGGAAAGGCATCAGTAAAATGACTATGACCACCCTCTCCTTTGCCTCCATTTGACTATTTCTTTGTTGAGTTTTTTTTATATTCACCACAAATCTGTCCGCCACACTCACAGGAACGATCGGCTCATGTATATACTGAAAAAGGTGATCTGCATTGATCATCAATGGCAGGTATGCTGGCCGGCTTAAGGGTGCACATATTTGTAGGAAGAGTTTTACTTGTAAAATAGGAATTTTGTGATTTATTTTGCATCAGTAAACTTTTTACGCTGAGCTGAAGTAAATTGTAGTAAGGGCCCTGTACAAAGTTTTGTTAGAGACTGCACACCATCAAAAAACGTAACTCCACCCCTAGTCAAGATCTGAAAAATGCCGTGAAAGTGGGCGTTGCCAGGAGGCACAGAGCGGCATGACCAAGTGTGTGGGATTTCCATCCTGGGAGGGAGAGGGAGTGGTAGGAGACTGTAATGATGACGTGAAACTGTGCCAGCCCCAGTCAATTCCAACTTTAAAATGCAGTAGCCGCTGTTCTGCCACAGGGGGCAGCACTAAGACGTTTTTAGACCTAGATTCTAGATTTAATCACGTTTACACAAACATGTCAAAGACTGTATGGAAACAGAAAGATTACATTTGCAAAGACCCAATTAGTCCGTTAATTAGCAAAACAAAAGTTATTTTGGGGTTTAGTTACTCTTTGAATAAAGCTCAAGTAAAGTTGTCCAAAACTGAAAATTCTTTTTACCGCTAGAAAAATTTTTTGCATCTGCGACACGTGGTCTAGAATTAAAGTCTAGAATTAAAAAGTGTCTTTACCTCAATTATCATCATTTGTACTGCTGCACACATAGCAAACATAATAACCTATTACCCCGAAGCCATGTTAGCATTTGCTAGCCAAGTAGCTTTTTGTTCCCTCCGTCCTGCGGTCGCAAGCAAAGGTGGGGTCGGGGCCATGACTACTAATTTACCCTGTGATGTAGACAAGACTGTCTTCTGCTGACCTGATTATTTTCCCATCTATTTCCTTTTTGTGGCTAATGTTGGCAATGGGAGTTGAAGAAAAGATTCATGTGACCTGGCTATCTAAAAACCATCTCATGAAGATGCCCTAAATACCACGTTTTCCCCACTTTACCAGTGAGCCTAGTCAGATACTGGCTTCAGAGAGGAGCTTGTTGGCCGAGCCAACGTGAAGGGATGGCGAGACGTCCTGCAGGCTGTGTTGGACCACAGAGTCTAGTAATCAAGACGTGTTGAGATAATTAGTCTGGTTTCTTTATTTTTAACTGGGTTGTAGAATTTTGCGTCACACAGCAGGACCACGATCAAGCTGCCAGCCTTCTTACACATTTTTGTTCATTGTCCAGGATTCATCGCTGTCCCTTTGAAAGACGTTGCATCAAACGTTGGGTCGGTTCGAGTCTCTTTCTTTGTATATATGCGAGTTTAGCACATTTTTGCAGCTTTGACTTTAAAAGCCACACTGAAAACTAGCATTGATGCTTTATTCCAATCAATGCTGAAATGGAAACCCTACGACTAATGCAGTCATTTGATGTGTGACTGAAAGCTGATTAAAAGCAAACAATTAGCAGGTATTCTGACCAGTGCTTAAAAGGCAAAGAATGAAACCCAGTTTAAAAGTGCCTTAACATGCAAAACGACTTTCTCTTCCCCCAACTCATTACGATGTTAGTAATAAACATCGCTTCCTCTGATAAGAATCAAGTAGATATTCAGGACCTGTGACTGGGAGTGTGACCAGCAGGCTCACGAGCCACAGGGAGTGACTGACAGCTGCCGTCAGGGAGAAAACTGGCCTCATCTCCCAAATATGGACCTCCTGGGTTTCTAGGTACGGACTTGTCTCCCTCTTCCCACAGAGCTACTTTCTGATTCATGGCTGTTGTTTTGCCGTTGCTTGTGGGCGGATGAGGCAATGCATTATCCTCAGACAGTTTAGCTGCTTTATCAGTTTTAAGTTAACCAGAACTTAATTCTCTTGAAGTACCTCTGCAGTTTCCCTGATTAGTAAGCATGTGTTAGACTGTTAGGTTTGATGCTTTTTGGAGGGAACTGAACTTGTTGAGAGTGAAGAATCTTTTTAGAGTGAACTCAAACTGTGGTTTAATCTTTAAATCAACAGAAGCAAAACTATTAAAACTACTTCAAGGCAACATTTTTATGTCAACCTGAAAAAGTTCCAATTTTAAATTCAAGTCCGGCGTTCCTCCACGGAATGCATATCGCTCGCTGCACTTCATGCCAGGATTTTAAACTCGGATAGAACAGAATGGGTCTTAATCCTACCGAGCCACGTTGCACCCCAAACAGGGTTACATACGAGGTAGAAAAACATGGTTAAACATGGTAAAAACGCATTACTAAGGTTCAAAACACAGCAGGAGCCAGCAAACAGGTAAAACAAAATAATAAAAAGGTACAAAACATAGAGAAGGTGCATATAAATGTGTGAGCAGTTTGTTTGTGTGTGTGTGTGTGTGTGTGTGTGTGTGTGTGCGCACAGACATCATATACATAGATGCAATGTGGACTGGCACTGCCTATAGGGAGCCTAAAGGTTGGTTTATGCTTGACGCGTCCGCGAGGTCCGCGCGGAAAAGTTGCGTCATTTTGCGTCATTTTAACAACCACGCCCCTCCACCGCGTTTCCGCACGGCCCAGAATTTCCGCAACGCGCACCTCGGAAAATTTCTAACCACGCGGACGGACGGACGAGGAAATACATGGCGGACCGGCAAGAACTAGTACGGCAGAGGTTGGTAAATACAGACATTTGTATGATTCAGCTCTCAGAGATCACCGTGATCAACATGTTGTTAATAATTCTTGGAGAGAAATAGCTCGCACTGTCGGAAAAGACGAGAACGCTGTTAAAAATGCTGAAATACCATGTTGTAAACAGTGATTTCTACTTCTACTATGGTGTAGTGTTGGATGCATGCCGTAGAGCTCCATGCTGCCCCCTACAGTTTGGGAGAATATTGACTCACCGCAGAGACGAGCCGCACAAACCATAAACACTGCGAGTTGTGAAGCGCGTTCCATCCGCGAGCCGCATCAACGCGCGGAAAGTGAATGCGTCAAGCATAAACCAAGCTTTAGTCACTTCCGCACCATGGATCCACGGAAGAATGAAAAATGAATGAAGCATGACTACACACCAGAAATCGGCACGTCTCCTCTCCCCTAACGCAGCTGCTGCTTACCAAATGACCAGATCTATGTTGGTTCTTACTTCCTGTGCGAAGTTTG